TTCATATTATTATTATAATTATTACCAATTTATTTGTATTGCACCTTTTATTACACTCAAAAGCGCTAAATTATTAGAAGCATGGTTAAAAAACTAACTAGTTATTTCCTTTAGGTAATTAAAAATTCAACAGTGAAAACACCTGCCTGCGCGTTGCATAGTATTTTCACATAATAATTTTTTATAACATATCACAATCACCTTATTTATTTTACCTCACAATTGTATTTTATGAAATAAAATATACAAATCCTAGAGCCCTGAGTGGCTTGCGGTTAGCAAAAACAGCACCACAACCACGAAAAACGGAGGTTGTGATTTTAAAACGATGCAGTTTTTGCGGTTTTTAAACGTGCGGTTTTGTTCGTTGCGGTTTTTAATATCAACTCCGCGGTTACCGCAATATATTAAATAAAACTTGAAATTTTAAAATTCGTCTTTTAAAAATTATTTATCAATGTTTTATTTATCAGTTTTATCAGCATTAAATGATTACGGCTTCATATTATATAACTAATTTATTTTAATCAAATATTAAAATGCTAATTTTATAATAATAAAATTTTTATAATAATAAAATGCTAATTTTTATAATAATAAAAAATTAAATTCAGTAAATTTTTAATTTTTACTTTTAATAGGTCCAATAAGAAGATGAATAAGAGAAGCCACCTTGTGCCCTCCGTGTGCTAACATATCATGGACCCCTTGATTTGCAAAAAAACTGTACGGATGATCAGTCTCGCTGAGTCCATCAAAAAACAGTGGGAGGTAGACTTGGTAATCAAGTTTTGCAACGTCAACCTGTTTATATTGTAAATGTTCTTTAATGAAAATCATTAGATTTATTTAATCTTGAATTTTATTTTTGTTTCTGACTTTCTAGCACTAACTTTCCAAGCTATTTTGTTTCCCTTGGCATCGTGTTCGAGAGCCATGGGAAAATCTCCTCGATTGTAAAACTTTCTGAAATTTGATGTTCTAGTTTCGCTAGCCCTGTAAGCATTTGTTTTTGGGAGGACGAATTCCTGGCAACGATAAAAGTAGTAGCAATAGTAGCGAAAAAAATTGTTATCATTATGAGGCAATAACTGAAAATGAAGCTGCTGCCTTAAAAAAAAATAAAATGAATTACATTTGATGAAAGTGAGCGTTGCAAGGACGACATGATTCTGGACCTTGATGTGGCAGATCGACATCTGCTATGTTTAGAACTGTCAGTTTCCATCCTGCAATGTGTATGTGTCTACAAATTAACATTACATTAATAATAATTTTAAAATTGTTTTCTTCATTATTTTTCAGAGGTAATATTAGCACACACACGTGTGAATATGAAGCCACTCTTCACGCGCACTACAAGGGATAGACGCGGAACCTAGCCACTGCAAAAGCAGGACCAAGCGTCTTAAACATTATGCCATCTCATAATCCCAGAAATATCAAACAGATACGTGCATTCATTGGCGTTTA